TGATGCTGGGGACAGCAGATAGAGCTAAGACATTTTGTAAAATTGACCATTTTTATTGGCATACAGCATAATCAGCCTACCAGCACATCAGGCAGAACTTTTATTAGGCTTTACAGACTTAGCAAGCACATTCGGAAAAGAAGAGTGTTTATCAGGTATAGAAATAATGTCTGCTTTAAGCCTTGCAGTCTCCCAAAGATTTGATTGAGTCAAAGGCATCTACCTGCTACACACTAGAGCAGCACAATTCCTGCTCCCAGCCTTTTGTACTGCACCTAAGCTAGTTTTGTATTGCTCACCAGTGTAGGTGAAAAATAGAAGATGAAAGGTATAATTTTTTGCTTAATACAACTTGCCTGATGAAGAATTGTAATAGATTTAAAAGTGAGGAAGTTGAAAACTCTGGTTTGCCTAAACTATCCTTCTCTGTTAGAGAACTGATTTTTTTTTTYYYCCTTCTACAAGGAATTTTCCTGGATAGTTATCCTGTTAAATTAAGATTTCTTCTTTGCATGCGAGAGCTTTAGAAGTCTACAAGGTTCTCTCTGCTGGTTGGTACATAATTAATGTCAAACCCCAAACACACACATTTTCCTATTATGAGTTTAAATAAAATTCATTACAAGTGCTGCTTACCAATGTAAGTCTTGACTGTTTAGGGAATTTGTCCCTTTACAGCTTATCTGGTCGATATTTTGATATTTCCTACAGCATTGAACATTTCACTGCACATTGAATCAGCTGCATGTGATAATACATGCTATATCCTCCAGACCACAAATAGCCCATGGCAACTATTATGAGTAATCTTGTTTTCAAGGAGAAARCATTAAAACAAAAAGAAACAACAAGCTAGGGAAAATTAAGCCATCTGCTCTGCTTGCCTGTGAGGACACAAATTGGGGCAATARAGGAAGGAACAGTACAACTACAGTGATAGAACTGGCTGTTAATAAAATACAAGCCTGGCATAAGATGTTCACTGAGCAATATGAACCTTTTGACCAATAACTATCAACATGCTAAGAAGAAACAGCAGCACGAGCTAAAGAAGATCCAACAACAGGCAGCAGAAATTCCTGTTAGGAGAACAAGGAAGGGCAAAGGAGCCGTACATCAGCATCTCATATTGCCAGGATCTCCCATTCATTGTCAGGGACTAAAACTCTTTATGAAATCCTCAGCAAAAAAAATCTGCTTTCTTTCCTTCAGCTGTCATTTGTTTTTGAAGACAAAATATGAACTCTAGTAATCAGAAGCTGAAACTCCACAGAGAACATGACTGAGTGACAGGCAAGTCCTGAGATCAACACTCCTGCCAGAGGTGCCACTCCAGAGCAGTTGTGCAGRGAAGGGTGAGCATCAATCTGCTCCTACAGGGCTGCTCAAGGAGCTAGAGACAGATCACGACTAGTCTCTTGATAGCTTAAAAAAAAAATCACATAGCTCCAAAAAAACAAACCACACAGCTCCAAGACACAAGTTTAAAAGCACCTGGCTTACTACCAGATGATTTGACATCCAGGGCAATGGATGTCAAAAACATTGGGCATCCACGTTTTAAACAAAGCTTTTGTAGAACTGAAACACTGCACTGKTTGAAACATTAGTGTTGAGATCCTAGAAGAGAAGGGTCCATTTAGCCTGAGGGGTGCAGAATTAGGCTACTGAATTTGCAGGTTGGTACCTTGTAGAGCACAATTCTGGCACTGTGAACAACTATCTCTTTTTGTTAAGGTGTTCTCAAGGTGGGAGAAGTTTACGCAGGCTTTATCAAGGTGCCTAAACATGTATTTTAGGACCTATCTTTAGGTCCTAAGTTCCTTGGGAAATAAAAAATAAATTAAATTTCTAAACAAGTCCACTGCATTTAAGCTGCTGCTTGATCTGAATGAAAAAGCCTAGCAGACCTCAGGACAGAGATGGTGACGGCCCCTTAAAAAYAGCAGCAAAATTAATAAAACCTCATCTAGCCTTCTGTAAAGAGCTAATCCTTAACTAGCACTACATTCTTTTTTCTTTGCTTATAAATTCTATGATTGCTGCATTTTATTATATGCAGCATCCCTAAAGCAGAGGTATAGTTTTTCACTAAGCATATCAGAGGAAAGCTAGTGGGAGAGTTAATTAGAAGAAAATAGATATTTCCTTGTAGAGCAAGCATGAATTCTGCAGGTATTAGARCATAACAGCGCTGCCAGGCTGAAATATTAAGGAGAGTTAAAAATTATAATAATCACAGGTAGTCCTTAGACAGCTTGACTACAGGCTGGCACTTGTCCTGTCCAAATTAGTTTGCCCAGCATGTTCTGTGTTCTTAAAAGGAAGAAAAAAAAGAAATGCCTGAGAGTACACAGATAACACCTCCAAATAACTTTTAATAAAAAGATTGATCTGCCTTTTTATCTATGCCTCTAAGARCAGTAAATACTTATCTGATGCAGTATTAATATTTTGGTCTGCAACTGAGAGTCAGAGTACACCACCAGTGATAATTAGTACTTTCGTGTTTAATTATTTTCTAAACACAAAGAAGAAGGTGGGGAAGATTCTCCACCTACAAGATCTCAAAGAAAAGACTGTTAAAAATATATTCTGGTCAGTACTCCACTTTACTCAACTGTCTTTTAGCAATTGCAGTAAGAAAAGCTGATTAATAAAGAATTTTATTCACTTTGTATCACAGTTATTTACAATATTCAAGCACAAGTAGCAGGATCTAAATAAATCACATACTGTGGGATGTCAGCTGCACAGGTTGTCTGTAGTACTCAGGTGATCAGTAAGGATAATTGCTCTCAATTTGTGCATTTATCTCCAACGTGAGAAGACTGAAGAACATTTCAGTTCTTGGAGAAAATGCTCATCTTGAAGGGAATAAGTGAAGTTCCATGCTAAAGTATGCTTTGGAGGAAAGGTATGAGACTATAGTACACAATAAGTGTTCCATTGCATTGCTGTAATTGATGTTTTGTTAACACTGAAGTTGAAAAATCTCAAATTTTCTTGAATCTCCTTGTATCTGGCACCTTAATATTTAGTATCCAGTAGCTCCCATGCAGACACTTTACTGTAGTAGTTTAGGTTGGACTGAAGCTCATGCACCTGAATAAGCTCCCAAATTGCTTGCCAGTGGCTCACACCTGCYGCTCTGGCTGCCCAGGCAGCTCAGCTCTGATGAGCCTGCTGCAAGCCTGGCACCCCTGATTTGCACCTAAGCCCCTCCAAAGAGGGAGAAACACCAAAAACCTGCTACAGGACAACTTCCAGAGTTCCCAAGAATTCCTAGAAGGTCCTCAGCAGTTTGTAGGATGCAAACATTGAGGTCTGAGAAGAACAAGCACAGCAAGAGGATCCAGTCCTAAGCACTCTGCCACTGCACTCAGGTAGTGCCAATCCACRCACACCCCACTCCCCTTCCTCAGGAGGGGTATTTCTGATCATAAACCTTATACTGTATCAAACTGCCCTCCTGTTTACTCAAACCCGGATGAAACCTTATGAAAAGAAAACCATCTTAGCACAGGCTATGATAGAAGGAAAAACCTATGATTAATTATATAAAAGTCATGATTTACTTTAATACATAACAATACAAAAACTATGTTTTCGGCTACAACTAATCTTGTAATGAAGCTCCTATTGTGGGGGAGCTTTCATTGTTAGTTATTTTCATTATTATAAAGTCTCACAAGAACTAGTAACACTCAAAGAGATCCTTTACTYAAGTTAAAGCAAAGATGAAATAACTGCTTAAAAAAAAAAAAATCAGAAGCCTGGCCTCAATTACTTTATAGTGTCTATCAATAGAAGCACAAAATCCTGTGGGAGGACAAAAAAGCAGTAGGTGTAATTTAGAGGGTGCAATATCTCATATTTTGTCCAAGAAAAGCTTTTTATTACTTTTGCTATTGAGTGACTTTYAGAGGTGAGTGAAAAACAGAAGTGAATGAATAACATTAATTTGATTTTCCTTTCAGAAATAACAAGCAGATATGATACATAAACAGATACAAGAAAAGCCTTCAAGATGACAGTTCTGTGTCAGTTTTTCACATTATGCAGTAGGAAGATTATATATTGGATTTTGCATTTTTTGTCAATTGGTTATGGCAAAATAGTGTTGCTTCCCCTTGTCTCTGTTTAAGATGTCACCGTTAGATGAAAGTAACCACTTTAAGTTTTTTTTTTTTTTACTTCATTTTGCCAAAAAGTGACATTGTAACAAGGGAAACATCAGCTCCTCTTTTGCTTTTATTTGTTATACCCAAAAAGAGAAAGGTAGATTAGGACAGATCAAAAGAGTAACTAGGCTAGTCACACCAGCAAATACTCCCCTCCTCCCCATCAGCATAGTGCTTCATATAGTAGAAYACTGGCTCTCACATTACTTAGAGGAAGAGTTTAACTGTTACTTTCATAGGTTCCCTGAGAGGGATCATATCTCCTTATTGCTGTTTCCTTACTCAAGGATCCAACTCCTTGATGCATAAACTACAACTCCTTGTAAGGAGTCAGGGAGCAGGAATAGGTTGATGCAAGAAAAGCAGCATGGGTGCAGAGCACACTCCGACCTTGTCCCAGATTGGCCATCCAGAAGGCACAGAACTCCACAAGAAAACCCACCATCTTTTTTYCTGGATCAGGCCCAGAGCTCCCAATATTTTTCTATTCTTGCCTTAACTGGATCTAGAACAGAAGATCCAGAGTTCCCCCTTTTTTCCAAGGGTCCCTCTTGGCTCAATGATTTTCCTCAGTAGCTATTTGTTTATTATATAGTTGTGAGCTGCTCTGGCATTTCTGATAAAGCACTTAGTTCCAGTAAGCTGAGCTTTGTATCTCMTTTGTCCCTGCATGAGAGCTTTTAGCTCCCCTCAGATAGGCACTGCATGCTCTTACAATTAAATCACCAGCAAATGTAAAACCTACTTTAATCCCTTTGTAAGGTGCAGAAATACAAATAAGTGCCAAGAAAGACATTTTACAAATAGACAAAGTACCTCAACATGGGTTTGCAACATCCAGTAGATGACATAGCCTTCACCTTCAACCAGGCAGCTCAGCAAGCTCTGCATCCTRTCTTTAGGGGAGCAATCTCACCTCAACATAAAGCACTTCAGACTAGTCCTTCTGGCCACTTTCTACCCCCTTCCCTTTTAATATAAAACCCCACCAGCTCTCCCTCCCCAAAGACACAGGTGATACCAATTTATCTAAAGCACTCAGCAATTAGCCTTAAGYGGACTCTGCTGTCTCTGCAGCTGCAACCAAACACCTTCTCACAAGTGTATGTAATACCCTATAATATCCCTACAACAACACATATGTCTGTTACATTATGCATCTCCCCAGCTATTGTCTTCTAATGCTGGAGAAATTAATGAAATACCTCGTGCTGCTTAACATTTTCAGCTAAATACAATAAATACCTTGGATTCCACAAAGTTATTGTGAAATACTACAGCAAATACTTAGTATCTGAGGATTTCACCAATATACCATAAATGAAGAGCAGAGGGAAAAAAAGCAATCAAAAAAAAAAATCTGCAGCTAGCAAGCACAAAAAGAAGTGAATGTAAATGAAAGGAATGAAGTTCACGTGCTTAAAACAAACAAACAAACAAACTGACCATTTCAGTAGCAGCTGATTAGAACTTCTAGTTTATGTGATTTAGGACAATTTGGGTAAAATGCTAGATTAAGTACAGCCCAGGTGTGAGTATTTTCTTGCAAAAGAAAGTAAGCCTTAATAGACATGGTTGGCCAGGTGGTTTGCATTGCAGCCTGATTATCTCACCATCCCAAGGGTCTTGACTGGTCTGCAACATAGCAGTAAAAGTAGGGACTTTATTACTTCTCTCTCTGGTGGCTGTGTATCAGATAAATAGTCTGATAGCACGTTGACACATAAACTGGTACTCACTCAGCTCACTGAAATAACATGCTGGTGTTGCCAAACTAAAGAGATCAAAAATCATAAGTCAGAAGCTTCAGAACCAGGAGTTTTCAATTAAAACTTCTCTTTGCCTTCTAAGTCTTCTTTTCATCTTCATGGTTCAGTCAATGACTACTTGCCAATTCTTCTCCRTAATCTCAAGGGTTTAGCAGGAGCTGAAATTCTCTAATAATTGCCAAGTACTGAAATTGGAGGACTTAAGAACACTAAATACTGTAATAAAGACAGGAGAAATTGCAAAGTCTGTAGAGTTTCATGATTCAAAAATAGGATAAATCTAAACTACCATAAATTCTTAATGATTCAAAATTCACAGCTAATGCAGRTATATCAAAGCTACTCCTAAATTTGTTGCACTTGCTGCAGACTTTGCAATCCCCCCATAAGGTAGTTAGGAATCGATGCATTGAATTCCACGAAGTTGTGTTGACTGACCCAGGAGTTCATCCCAAAGTTCACTAGAGAAGCCAAAACTTATGTTTAGAGCCAATAAGAATCTTTAAAGTGCCTGTTTTAAGCCATACAGTAGAATCTATGTGAATCTGCACTTTGACCCTGCTCTTGTCTTGAAATATTCCTGCTTCCTTTGATTATATGAAGTTCCAGCACTTCAGAAACATTTCATAGTCCTTCTGGGTTGCTATTTTGGTGACAAGCTTTTTCCTTTATCTTAGTATAAGAGTTTTCTTTGGCATGCTCCTTGCTCTCACCTTTTTCCGATCTACTTCCAAACACTGAACACTTTTTTTTTGTTTTGCAATTAGATTTTAGCTTTTGTGTATTTTGTTTTATTGGAACTGGCAAGATGGTGCTATTTAAACGCAGCTCCATCTGTCAGAGTCAAGTCCTGCAGGTAGGGTGTCATGTTTGATTTCATATTATCATTTGTTGTATAGTCAGAGCTAAAGAACAAAATGTTTACTATACAACAGCTGTTCCTATGAATTCCTTTGGGAGCTCTTTTGCTGTTGTTGCAGGACCTACTGGTGTCCTGGCAAATGAAGCAGAGTAACTTGCAGCCTGACACTGGTTCAAGGAAAGCAGATCCTTTCCATACAGCTACATCTGAGGTGTGCAAAGAGCCATTTGCCATAGGCCACCTGGCTCCAAAGCAGAGTCTGCAAGTGGATTTCACAAAGGATCTCCTAAACATCCAAATCACTAAAAATCTTAAAATGATACTGTGTCCAGAGATTTGACAGGATGTATAGATACTTTTGCAACCTGTTAGAGTGCTTGTCTTCTCACAGACAATATCTCCCCTTGTAATTCTCACTGGTCACATTTGCTTTGAAACAACTTGTGTATGCTTTAATTTCACTTATCAAAAGCACTGTATCAACAGCATTTTTGAACAGCCATCTAGAAAAAGCTATTCTAGGATGGAAGGCTTCCTGAGGCCTGAGGAAGGCTTGCTAATACCTTAAATTGTCTCTTTTTTTCCCCACAAACAGCGGAATTAATGTTTCTAACATGGCAGTTTTTAAATAAAAATATACTCCTTGTAGAGCTTCAGCCAAAGGAAGGGAGCTGCAGAGAATCCAGCTGGATCATTCACACACTCTTACTGGGAGAGACACCTCAGCAAAGAGTGATCAAGAACTGACAGACCAAGCCCTGTTGCAAACACAAGCGAGCAAGGCACGAAAGCCTTTCCCAGGGGGGAGATGTGTTTCTTCCTAATATTATATCAGGATCAAGTGCCACACAGGGGGCTGTTACCTTGCGCAAGATCCCATACCTTGGAAGCCACAGACCCCCAGAGGAGCAGGGTTCAGGCTTTGTGCCAGCTGCAGCGCAGCGGGACCTTCTCCCAACGCTAAGACTCAGGGACAAGGAAAGTGTAAATAGGAGCAGGGGCAGCAGMCTGCAGCAGGGTGAGGGGCTCTCACACTGAGCCCGGCCTTGCTGCTGCTGCAGGCGGCTGTGCTACAGGTGGCCCAGGTGCCACATCAGCTGCATCCAGGGTGACATTCCAATGCCAGCAGCCAACAGCCAGGAACAGGCCACGTCTGGAGCAGCCAGAGCTCGGCTGCTCACCACGTGGGAGCTCTGCATGTGGGGCTTACATTAACCWGCACGGCTGAGCTTGCACTAGCCTGATATCGTAAGACTGCTGCTTACAGGGCACCAGTTACACTAATCCTGGGCTAATCCTGCCCAGGCAAACTGCTGACATTCCTGGGCCTGCATTTTCTGTCTGTTTGCCTAGTAAGCTAGGCCATGGACATCTTCTCTCCTGTTTAATAAGTGGTTGTTCTCTATCTGTGGAAGCAATTGGGGGCAGAAGTGTGAAACCGTCACTGTGAGGTGGGCAGGTTACACGAAGCACAAAGACCTCACCCTGCAACGTGCCAAAGAGCTCCGAATATGTCATCCAGTGATGCTTGCTTCTAAACACAGAAAGAAACAAGGCAAGCCCTGGTTCATGCAGAGCTCACACACGAGCAGTCAAGGCGATAGCACAACCCTGGAAAGAAGGGCACATTTTACAAACTTCAAAGGCTGGCTCACACACAGGCCAACAAATACATTTAAGTACCAGGATTAGCTAGAACAGCTGTTGCCTGGTCAGGATAACCATCCTTCAGGGCCACTGTTATTAATAATTGTTTAATTTACACTGATGACAATGCAAGGGAGCAAAAATGACTGGTGTTCGGTTAGTAASAACTCTCAGCTGGACGGCTTGTCTCTCCCCAGGGGTTGTGTRTACCCCGCTTCAGTTTAGGGAAGGATAAAAAGCTGGATGATGAAAGCTGGAAAATATCTACCAGGGTAGGTGTATGTCCCAAATTGGCATTAATATAGTGCAGCCTTCACTACATTCATATTTGATGGATTTAGTAATTAATTTAGCAGCTGATGACCAAACACATGCTGTAACACTTTGGCCAATTCCTCTGGGCTCCGAGTTGGATCATGATGACACAGATCCCCAATTTGGCAGGAGGCACTTGACAAACTTTTGTGCAGTTCATTCCTTTGATGGATCATGTAGTTTGTCCTCCACTATTTCATAAAGGGTTTGATCACCCTAGAAGTCCACATGAGAGGAATTGATACCTCTGGCAGGCATTTTCCAGGCACCTGGAGAGTACATGGTCCAGATACTCTGCAGTTTATAGGGATGAGATAAAACAGAGACCTAATGGCGCACAGTTTCTTCCCCCCATCTTCCCATTTCACAGACTATATCTCCTCTTGGCAGTCTCTCCATACCTCTGGCCACCAGCTCAGAGCATTTTGTCCTATCCCCAGGGAGAGCTGAGCTTGAGGCTATCACCATGATGACTTGGGTCTAGCTCCTCTGGTCCTGCCAGTGCCTGAACAATCCAGTGACGTGAACTAATGTCCAGGTTCACCTCAAAGCACCAGCAGCACTCAGGCTCTTTATTTAGCAGACATTAGGCACTTGATCTAACATTTTGCTTGCTTTTAAATTATGTAGGTGGCTGTTGGAACAGAATTTGGCCCAAGACTTTTGCCTGTGGGAATGTATGAGTTGTCCCATGTCACTTGAGGAGGCTGTGACAAGCTTGGGAATTGACACCAAAGACCTAAACACCTTTGCTATTCTGTGTGATTCTATGTTCAGTGCTTTAACTATAGACCATGATTTTTCACCAAGGCACTGGCTCCCTCTGGGACTGGAGCAAACAGTAACCCAGGGTTTCCCTTTAAGAACTGCTTTCTGATCCTCATCCTTACATTTCTTATATTCACTCTTATCTTCTTGCTTTTATTCCCCTGTAAGTCATCTTTTCCCATATTGGTATTTATAACTCCTAATACTCTAGACAGTTCTATTTCCAGGCAGTGATGAGCTCCTTCTCACAAATTTATTTGTGAGCCCGCCCTGTCTGTCTCCTCTATCTGCAGCTTTTGACACTGTGCTGCTTAACTAACATGGGATTAAAATAGCTAAAAAAGTGCTAGCATTTTTAATCAGACAACTCAGAGAGTTTCAGGTGCCCTATGATTCACAAGTAGATTTTCAGTAATAACTCAAGATTTTTTCCAGTGCTTCTGAAAGAAAAGAAGCTGCAGCTCATCCCCCACATGACTGTGACTTATAACCACTTCTCCACTGAGACTGGACAGCGGTCACCTATCCTACCTATAGATAGAAGAGATGTATGTAAATC